CCGAGGAAAGCCACGAAAATGATGCACGTATGGGAAACCATACCTTAGAGTAAGAGAGTCAAGGAGCTCAAACTATTTTGCTGAACCAAGAGATGACAGACAGAAATAAAGAAAGAATCGATCTCCACAGGACCAAGTATTTAATAAAGGCCTCTGTAATCTAGCAGAAAAGTGTTAAGACTGGAAGCTGTAGCTAGACAATCTCAGGCAGGAAATAAAATGCAAATTTTTAGCAGGGAGGACAAGTAACCCCTGGAACGGTGTGCTAAGGGCATAAGAACATAAGAACGGCCTTACTGGGTCAGACCAAAGGTCCATCTAGCCCAGTATCCTGTCTGCCAACAGTGGCCAGCACCAGGTGCCCCAGAGGGGGTGGGACAAAGACAACGATCAAGCGATTTGTCTTGTGCCATCCTTCTCCAGCCTCTGACAAACAGAGGCCAGGGGCACCATTTCTATCCCCTGGCTAATAGCCTTTTATGGAGCTAACCTCCATGAAATTATCTAGCTTCTCTTTAAACTCTGCTATAGTCCTAGCCTCCTCTGGCAAGGAGTTCCACAGGTTGACTAGGGCAGTGGTGGAGTCTCCAGAGCTAACCACTTTTAACCCCAGATTGGAGGTTTTTCTCTAACACTGTGGGCTGTTCTCTGGCTGGTGTGGGGGAGGTCGCAGTAAGTGATCACAGCAGTCCTTTCTGGTGTTGGAATCAAGGATGCTATGATACTGTGTTTCTATTTGCTCTGTGGCATTTCCAAGGAGTTGGGATCAGCGTCTCCTTCACAGGCGGGGAGGGAGACTTTCTCCTGACACCAATAACCCCCATGTGGATATTTACACGCCCTCAGCCACAGCATTGGCCCAAAGAGACCTTCCCGCCTCTCAGCTTGTGAGAACCTCCGTGGGGACACCCACCAGCTGGGTATAAAGCTATTCCCACTCGCCAGCCCTAGCAGCTGGGCTCTGCTGCTGTCGGAGCCGGATTCATCCTCCTCCAAGCAGATGAGCTGAATTCATGTGGTCTTACTGAGAGGGGGGGTTGCTGGTGAGTCGGGGGCTGGGGGAAATGGAGTTCTTCATGGCTGGGTCTCCTCAGGTGCTGCACGAGGGCTCCGCTGGCTTCCAGGAGCCGGTGCTGGACAGCAACACTGAGAAATGCAGAGAGGGGCATGCTCACGTGGCAGTTCAGAGCTCCGAGCGCACGCAGCCCTGATGCTCAGCGGTCTCTGGCAGGGGTGGGGTTAAAGGCCGGAGGGCTTTCCCTCCAATTCTGTCCGCCCACGTCACGTGTCCACCAGCACTTGGCACAGCAGTCAGCTTTGGCACTAGGGAGGGGAGGCTCTCAACGGTTCTACGCGTAGGGTTGGCAGAATTATTTTTGTGTATTTTGTATTATTTCTCAGGATAACGTCTCCATGCCTGAGCATTTTTAATTTTTCTTCCCAGAGGAGTCATTGTGTTAGACTGTAGCTTTAAAGACAACGTGAAGTCCTGTGGCATCTTAGGCTGTGTCTACACTGCAAGGAGAAGCAATCGTAATTTGCATATCTTTTACATCTTTTCTTTTGGAAGAGGATTTTCCAAAAATTGATACATCAACATGGTGCCAAATTTCAGAAAAACCACCTCTTTGGGCACAACGACGCTTACGGGGATGGTGAAAAAACATGTTCACTTTTCTGAAATGTTTTTCAGAAAAGCCGACGTGTTCCTTGGACACAGCATAGCTTTTCCAGGGTACCTTCAGTATCCTAGAAAAGAGCTGCAGTGTAGACGTAGCCTTAGAGACTAACAAAAATACATACAGTCCAGGCTGAACCTCCCTAGTCCAGAACTCTCTGGTCCAGAAACATCTGTCATTCAGAATTATTTTAGTTAGCTCGTGTCACCTTACCATGGGTGTCGCTGAGTTTCTTGCAGTCCCAGAAAGTTTGTTTACAGCCGCCAGTCCTGGCTCTCAGTGTTGTGTGCTGTCATTTAGCTCCAATTTACCCCCAAATGTCATCTAAGAGCGCAGTAAGCAGTGGAAGTGTTGCTAACGCTGCTAGACAATATTGTCCATTCAAACTTCCCAGATTGTGCAGGGCTAAACAGTTGAGCCTCGTGTTGCATTGCTAGCCAAGTTGTGTGGGGTGAGAACTCTCTTTTCCCTGAATGAACCATCTTACTGAGGCACATCCCTGGATTTCCTGGTGACATACCCCAAACTCATGAAGCCCGGTGTCAGTAAAAATGCCTTGTTCTTTAACATACCCTGCTCATACATCCCACGAGGATGTGGAATCTTGAGAAGGTCTGAGCTTTCTGCAGAAACCTCACCCTTGATGTCTCCTGGGCACCTAGCCTGTGCGGCTTGTGTTTGAGACAATGAGGTTGTCAGGGCTGGGGTGAAAATTGTTTTCAAAGCACTTGCCCAGGGGTCTCTTTGGGCACAGTGTGTCAGGTGAAATGGACATTTCTCAGCATTTACTTGTAACAATCTCACCTCCCCAAGCCTGTCTGAGTCCTGGCGCCGGGACCTTCATGGGCAACTAGTGTGGAAGGGAGCACTGAAAACGGGGGTACGGTCAGAGGCAGTGCCACTAGGGCAGGAACTGGTAGGTTGGATCTTTGGTGACATATAATGTGCTGGAAATAGACGTGGGGATGGGTTGTATTCTGAAGCACTCCGACTGTATACAATGGGTGTGTGGTGGGATTAGAACTGCTTCCCAGAAGGAGGGGCGTGCGCATCTCCCCTTCGTATGGCGCAACTTTGTCTTACACAATATAATTGGCTCCATGTGGTGTTTTGACCTCTTGAACGTTTTCATAACGGCCAAGAGGTGCATCCCATTCTCTGGCTGCCCACATCACTCTGCAGGCTGGATAGAACGTACCCCAGGGCAGGGAGGGGCTAAGAACACCGACTGGGTGCAGACAACCCCAGCGGTATGTGCATTTCTGTAGGGAAGATGCTCTGAACTGAGCCCCAGCGATGGGGAGCAAGACACAGCCCCAGAGCTGTTCACAGCCTCAATGTACCCCTGGGCAGAGCATCGTACACCCCTTTCCTGGGCCGGTCTTCCAAACAGGGAAGCGATGTTGTTACTCTCAATGGGGCTGTCTGCATGCTTGCCTGCAGGATAGGACCCTTCGCCCTGAGCTGTCTGTCACTCTTCACACCTGCCCTAGAAAGCTAGCTAGAACCCCTCCAGCCGCATCCTCTTTGCCCCTGCTCACGGTGACCTGGATCCCTTAGTAAAGGGCTTTGAGATCTGCCCATGGAAACCCTGATGGTTCCCTCTCCTGTCCGTCCCCTCTGGAGCACCTGGCAACCTTCCTGTGCAGTTATGTTTTCATGACAAGTGCCATGTAGGAGCAAGATATTGTACAGCTTGCCCCTGTCAAAACCAGCACTCTATGGTCTGGCAACACCTGTGGTCCGGCAGGACCATGGACGCCCCTGGACCAGAGAGCACCAGAGCCGAATAGAAAGAGGACCAGCAGCCCAGCCAGGGCCGGGGACAGTGGGGCCAGAGGAGCCCCACAGCAATGCTGGAGCCTGGGCCTGGAGAACCCTGGCAGCCCACAGCAGTACCCGGGTGGGAGCCGTAGAAGCCCAGGTGCCCACAGCAGCGAGAAATCGCAGGCCCGATAAGCCCAGAATCCCATGGAATCTCAAGCCTGGGAAAATCAGGCCACTCAAGGCAGAATGGGCTACGGCCGGAGAACCCCCGGTGCCAAAGGCAGCCCCAGGCCAGGGCCAGTGGCAGCAAAGCGGAGGAGAGGGGGCGAGAGGCAGGGGACACCTCCCCTGGCCTGGAAAATTCTGTCATTAGGGACCAGTCAGGTCCCAACCATGTCAGACCCGGGAGGTGCAACTTGTTTTCTTATTGCTTTGTTGCTATTGTACCTGACACGCCTCAAAGCGTCCCCATTCTCGGAAGATGGGCGCTCAGCATTTTCTGAAATTGAGCCAAGGAGACTAACACTGGTCACCCCGAAACACACGACTTTTAGACTTCTGGATTACAGAAAACCGTCTTGCCTGTCAGGGTGGTTAAACACGGGAATAAATTGCCTAGGGGGGTTGTGGAGTCTCCATCGTCAGAGATGTGTAATAGTGGGTTAGACAGACACCTGTCCTAAGGGCAGGGGACTGGATTTTATGACCTCTTGTGGTTCCTTTCAGTTCTATGAGTCTATAACTCTATGATTTGCCTCTTTGTCCTTTCCTTTCCCTAGATTTTGGGGAAGAGCTGAAAGGGAAAGGCAGAAAGCTGCACGGATTAACAAAGAAGGAAGGAAACAAGGAAGAGTGTATTAGCCCCCATCATGCTTCATTCTTCCCCCTCTCGCCACGCAGAAACCCAGAACAGGAAAGGGAAGTGAATCTCTAATAAAGGGAAAAACTAACCAAAAGCCATCAGACTTGTAAAGAGACAGACTGGGCTGCCACAGGCTATGTCTAGACTACACGCCTTTTTCAAAAGAGACTTTTTCAAAAGATACTTTCAAAAAAGCCTCTTTCGAAAAAAGCATCTAAACTACAATCAGAACTTTTGAACAAGCTAGCCGCTTTTTCGAAAGAGAGCACCCAGGCAGTCTGGATGCTTTCTTTCGAAAAAGCACAGTTTGCATTACATAGCGCCTTTTTTCGAACGAGCACTTTCAAAAAAAAGGCGTTCTTCCTCTTAAAACGAGGTTTTCCGTGGTCAAAAAAACTGCTGCGTTCTTTCAATTTACTTTTCTAGATGCAGGGAGGATTTTTCAAAAAAAGGCCACTTTAAAAATAAACACCTGTAGTCTAGACACACCCACAGTGTGTAACAGCAGTAACTCTATGTGTGTTTGTCCTGGCACTGAAACTGGTATTCGGAACCAGAGACCCTCGATCCAATCTACCCTAACTCCCTTGCACCCAGGTTTCCCAAGAATTGAATCAGCTCTCGTGGATTCTTTGCTGCTTCTTTACAGGGTGGCTGTTCCCCGTGTCCTGAGAGGAGAAGAACAGCATGCCATGGTATGTCTGAACACCAGCACCCACTCCCATCCAGACACTTTCCTGCTGGGTGGCATCCCAGGACTGGAGGAGGCCCAGTTTTGGATCGCCTTCCCTTTCTTCATCATGTATGTCATTGCCGTGCTGGGAAACGTCATTGTCCTCTTCATTATAAAGACAGAGCCGAGCCTGCATGAGCCCATGTACCTCTTCCTGGCCATGCTGGCCAGCACCGACGTTCTCCTCTCCACGTCCTTGGTCCCCAAAATGCTGGGCATCTTCTGGCTGAACTCCAGAGAGATCGGGTTCCACGCCTGCCTGACTCAGATGTTCTTCGTTCATGCCTTCTCCTCGGTGGAGTCGGGGGTGCTCATGGCCATGGCCTTGGATCGCTACGTGGCCATCTGCTGCCCACTCCAGCACTCCAGCATCCTGTCCATCCCAGCCATAGTGACAATCGGGAGCCTGGTGCTGGCCCGTGGGGTCCTTCTGGTGAGCCCCTTCTCCTTCCTCGCGCACGGGCTGCCCTTCGGCCAGAGCTGCCTGATCTCCCACTCCTACTGCGAGCACATGGCCGTGGTGAAGCTGGTGTGTGGGGACACGCGTGTCAATGTCATTTATGGCCTCTTTGTGGCTTTCATGGTGGTGGGGTTTGATGTGCTGATCATATTCATGTCCTACGCGATGATCCTCCAAGCCATATTGAGACTCCCATCCACAGACGCCCGTCTCAAGGCCTTCAGCACCTGCGCGTCTCACTTGTGTGTCATCCTGGCCTTTTACATCCCGGGCCTCTTCACCTTCCTTGCCCACCGCTTTGGGCACAACATCCCTCACCATGTCCACATCATGGTGGCCAATCTCTACCTCCTGGCGCCTCCCATGTTAAACCCTATTGTGTACGGGGTGAAAACCAAGCAGATCCGGGAGAGGATGCTCCGTATCTTCAGCAGAAAGGAATTGGAGCAGCGTGTGCCTGTCTAATTTAATCTAGGATATAAAACATTCATCACCAGGGTCTCCAACCCAGTCATGATCCACCGTTGCTCGCAATGGTACGGGATCATAGACACTTCACCATGGACTCCACGTGGGCTCCATCTTCCCTTCCTGCTCAAGGAAGGCAGCTGATCAAGCCACCTCAGTGGGAGCTCCAAAGACAAATGTGAGATGGAAGCCTCCTCCCTCACCTCCCGTGATACCCACAGCCTGGGTGGGGGATGCATTTTTTTGGGGGGGGGAATCTCTGTGGATCGCTCCAACAATGTGTTGTACAACACAACTAATGTGAAGAATCTACATGGGCAGAGTTGGGTTCATACAATCGTGTCCATTATGTGTACCCCAAAGATGCCAGCCTCAGCTATGCTGCTCTGACTGGTCCTGGTGGCTTCTGAAACGTGAACCACTTTGAGTCCTGTTATGGGGCTGACAAAAGAGTCCAAGGGGAGATGCTCTAACCCCACCCTTTTCCGTTATTAATGTGTGATCTACATGGCATAGCATACATACACCAGAATAGACAGGAAACCAAACAACACAAAACCAGTCCTGGTCTTTTCCCTGAGGAGAACATGTTTTAATTCCCTGAAACACCTGGCGATATAATGGTGGGAACGGGTCTGCAAGTGGCTTGGAACCCTACTTGGTGGTGCTATGGTCAAAGAGACAGACACACACCTGGCCCCTGAGGCAGAGACACAGACACAAACCAGGTTCTCATGAGGGGAACAGAGGTAAGAGACTCAGGGTATGTCTACACTACCCCACTAGTTCGAACTAGCGGGGTAATGTAAGCATACCGCACTTGCAAATGAAGCCCGGGATTTGAATTTCCCGGGCTTCATTTGCATAAGCCGGGCACCGCCATTTTTAAATCCCGGCTAGTTCGAACCCCGTGCCGCGCGGCTACACGCGGCACGGAGTAGCTAGTTCGGATTAGGCTTCCTAATCTGAACTAGCTGTACTCCTCATCCCACTGTGCTGTCTACACTGGCCCTTTTCCGGAACAGTTTTTCCGGAAAAGGACTTTTGACCGAACGGGAGCAGCATAGTTTTTCCGGAAAAACACTTACAATTTTACAGTAGATCATCATTGCTTTTCCAGAAAAGCAAGCGGCCAGGGTAGACAGCTGGCAAGTTATTCCGGAAAAGTGGCTGCTTTTCCAGAATAAGTGGCCCAGTGTAGACACAGCCCAACTGAGGCCTAACCAGCGCAGAGTAGAGCAGAAGAATGACTTCTCGTGTCTTGCTCACAACACACCTGTTAATGCAGCCCAGAATCATGTTTGCTTTTTTTGCAACAGCATCACACTGCTGACTCATATTCAGCTTGTGGTCCACTATGACCGCTAGATCCCTTTCTGCTGTACAGATCCCTTTCTGCCCTTTCATGAGTGGCTGGAGAAAGCATTCATGTACTCAAGGTGGGTGTGGCTTTGTAAGTGCAATATGGGAGAGGATTACAGCACGGCCCAGCCTCAGAGGGTGAGGGGCCAGGCTGGGATGTCAGGGAGCTCAGGAGAGCCCCATTTCTAGGTTGCACCCCAGAGAAGTCCATCAACCCCTCCCCTGGAACAGGCTCTGCCATCCCGTAGTCCAGTTCCCGCTTCTCATGAGTCCAGTCCCTGGGAGGGAGACCATGGTCCTGGCAGGGAAGTCAGGACTCCCGTGTTCAGTGGCGCTGAAGCTATTTGTAGGGTGGGGGGCTGAGCCGCCGCTCCATTCGAATTAGCTTAGTTCGAATTAAGTAAGTTCGATTTAGTGCTGTAGTCGTAGACATACCCCCTTTTAGATACCTGAAAACTGCTATCATGTCCCCCCTCAATCTTCTCTTTTCTAAACTAAACAAGCCCAATTTTTTCAGCCTTCCTTCATAGGTCATGTTCTCTAACCCTTTAATCATTCTTGTTGCTCTTCTCTGGATCCTCTCCAATTTCTCCACATATTTCTTGAAATGCAGTGCCCAGAACTGGACACAATACTCCAACTGAGGCCTAACCAGCGCAGAGTAGAGCAGAAGAATGACTTCTCGTGTCTTGCTCACAACACACCTGTTAATGCAGCCCAGAATCATGTTTGCTTTTTTTGCAACAGCATCACACTGCTGACTCATATTCAGCTTGTGGTCCACTATGACCGCTAGATCCCTTTCTGCTGTACAGATCCCTTTCTGCCCTTTCATGAGTGGCTGGAGAAAGCATTCATGTACTCAAGGTGGGTGTGGCTTTGTAAGTGCAATATGGGAGAGGATTACAGCACGGCCCAGCCTCAGAGGGTGAGGGGCCAGGCTGGGATGTCAGGGAGCTCAGGAGAGCCCCATTTCTAGGTTGCACCCCAGAGAAGTCCATCAACCCCTCCCCTGGAACAGGCTCTGCCATCCCGTAGTCCAGTTCCCGCTTCTCATGAGTCCAGTCCCTGGGAGGGAGACCATGGTCCTGGCAGGGAAGTCAGGACTCCCGTGTTCAGTGGCGCTGAAGCTCCAACCTGTTCACACCCCTCACCGACCCCCCTGGGGCACACCTAGGCTTGCCCACTCTCTTGGGCCAGACGGATGGGATGCCACTGCTGCAAATGGCGTCTGATAGGTCCTGTCTGGGAGAGCTGACCATCTAACCACAGCTGGAGAGGGCTGCAGGGCCATGGGCCGACTAGGGTCCTGCGTGGCAGCGGAGCCTCCAGGGCTAGTGGTCAGCAGGATCATGGGGGTTGGGATCACCTGAAGCACGTGGGGCTGGCAGGCCTGGCAGCAGGTGAGTAGCAGAGCTGGTCCATGCGTTCAGGGAAACCGGATGCAATATATAGGGGTGTTACAGCACCCCCCACACTCCTACTGCTCATGGCTATGCCTGGGTTCTGTCCGTCACTCTCTGTGTGACATGGGAAATGTCATGTCTCCCCTTGCCTCAGTTTCCCTGTCGGTATAGTGGGGAAATGCTCATTGCTTTCCTTTGCTAGGTGTTCTCAGTGAAAGCCGCTTCACAATATGACAAGCGCTAGTGATATGAATTCTTCCTCTCTGGCCCATGTCTCTGCAGAAAATGTTCAGCTCTCCCCTCAGACATCTCTCTCCAGCAATGGCTGCCGACTGTCTGCCTGTCCCTCCTGGGCATGCACAGGGGATCAGACCCTCCGCAGACATGAGCCTTTATCCCTCGTTTTCTTCCTAATCAACTTTAATTGTTCAATACACACAAAGGCACAGAGCAGCCAGTTCCCCCGTGACCCAGCCCAGAGCCCAAGAGTTCCTTTGGGAAGGGCCTTCAATTCCTATTTACTCCTAAAGCTGGACAAGGAGCACAGAACATGGACGTGGAAGGTGCAGGTATCGGCTGGGGGGCTTCTGACCTTCGTGCTCTTTGTTCTCAGATGCCAGGGGCTGAGTGAACCCCCCTGGGAAGGCCCAGAGCTGTGTTATAACCAGTGCACAGCCCTGTTCCGGCTCTCGGTGCAGGACGCTGCTGCAGACGCTGGGCTGAGAGAGGTGCGGGACGCGGCTGCCTGAGGGGGGTTCCCAGGGAAGACACGTCCCTCTCAGCACTCACAGGTACTGTCCCCTGCTGAGGAGCTCTCCTGCTCCACAGCCCCAAGGCAACGTGGGTGTGAGGAGAGAAAATCCGTGGCCCTTTCCGCTCTTCACAGCCACTCAACATCTCAGGGACCTTGCCCAGACGATGAGGTGGCCTAAAAATTGCTCCAATATCACGGACCAAAATGTCCTTCTCTCCCAGGCCTCCTGTGCCGAGTTGGCTGCATTTCAGTGGCACCAGGGATGTGTCAGGATGAAACTTGGCAGGAGATTTTCAGTACAAAGCCCGTTAGTTTGCTGAGGTCTGTGAGAGGCAGGATGCCCCTTTTCCTAAGCACTGGGGGACAACTTTAGGAGCCAGTTATGAGTTGATGCGTATGGACTATCAAGTCCTCATCATTCATCTCAGGGCTCTGTCTGTTCACATGGGGACAGTCGCCTGCCTTTTATCTGCTGGGAAGCATGGATATGCCTGGGCTACTCCTTGGCACGGTCATTAGACCCTTTTCACACGTGTAAGATATGTGTTCGCCTGGCTTCATGCAAGGATTCATGTCAAAAGGTCAGGCTAAAACTTCCAAAAACAATTCAAGCCAGAACCGGAAGCCGGTGTGGGAAATTGCAGTGCAAATGCTGGTGTCAGTGGGGTAGCCGTGTTCGTTAGTATTTGCAGAAACAATGAGGAGTCGTGGGGGACCTTAGAGACAAAGAGATTTATGTGGGCACAAGCTTTCATGAGTAAAACCCACTTTGTCATTGGAGTGGAATTTATTAATGATTCATTTCCACTTCAGTACATCTGATGAAGTGGGTCTCTGCCCACAAAAGCTTGTGCCCGAATAAATCTGAGAGTCCAAACGATTAAACTTTGGCAACTGAAAATACGCGATTCTAAGGGCAGGTGTCAAACAGCCTGTGAGTCCCATTCACCTTAGCTCTTCATCTCAATAATGTCGGTGGCAAGAAGTTCCGCTGGCCAAATATGGATTTTGTAAACAGGTTTCTTTCTCAATGTTATATGTTCACACTGTCCATGTCACTGAGTGTGCCCTTAGTCCCCACCCCTGAGGATCACACCCTGTGTTTGGGTAATACCTGGTGCACTGTGAGACTTTACACCCCAGCATCACAAAGCCGCAGGCGAGAAGGGACCTCAGGTGTCAGGCTGTCCATCCCCTGCCAAGATAAACGATTTGTTGCACTTAGACTATTGCACAGAGATGGCTGTCCCGGCTCCTTTGGAAAAGCTCCAGTGAATCAATCTCAGGAACATTGTTCGGCATCTGTTCCCTTCTCCACTTATAGTTAGGACGATGATTTTTTTTCTCCTGAGATTTCCTCTAAATCTACTCTGCTTGTTTTTCTACCAATTGTCTCTGTTCATGCCTCCTGTGGCAAGAGAGAAGGTGACCCCATTCAAGGATGGGATTTCAGCCAGCTGCTGCTCAAGAGAGAG